TGTTTGATATCATTTGACCATTACTTGGTTTTTCATAACATATCATGGTGCAAATTGGTCTTTTATCGGGGGGATACGCATCATACCCACAACTTTCGCAGAATCTGTTTTAAATAATATTATCTATTCACATTTACTCTGTTAAATTTGACACAAATTCACATGACGAATAGTTAGTACATAATAAAATATGTTCAAATCAAACTTCTCAATAGAACTTATATTCATTAAAAATTTTGTATCACTTGATTATTCTGCTGTGAATACTGTAAAAATTGTAATTACACATCTGTTTATACATTGTATTTGGGTTTTTTTCTTTTTGCGTCATTAGGTTGGTAAGAAGATGGGATAAAAAATTAAAATCCAAATAACAATTCTACCATCGACTCATAGGAGTAACGAACGACAACTCTGCAAGGGAGATTGCCAGAAAACCTGGCTGCCTGTCTGAACAAATGCATCAAGTTTGCAAAACCAAGTCAAACATCAACAATCAAAGACTTATAATTACTAAATTAACACAATTTTAGATATTGCAAAGAGAAATTACCAGAAGTCGGCAACATTTTGTTTATTTGGAAAAAAAATTAAAATGTAGCATTCCTTGTCATTGAATATGTACAAATTCATTTTTTAAAATTTCAATTTTATTTGGAAATTTGTCTATCGGACTACTAAGAAGTTAAGCCGTTGATGTGAATCTGTAAGTTCTGTTGTTTAAACAAATATTGGAATCATATTTGTTTGCCCCGTTTTCCCAAATATAAATTTTTGTGGAAAAAAGGAGAAAGCAAAATAAGCATACATGTGTACATGTAGTAATCCAATCTCCATAATACTAAAAGGCTGGTAATACTAATTCATGACACTTCTAAAAAATATATATATACTGACAATATAACCACTTGCATAAGTCTCTACATCTTTCCTCTTGATACACACAGAGCAAAGAAAAGACAAATGCATATACCGGGTACTATGTCAGAAATACACATAAGAATTGCCTAGTTAAATCAAATAATTCAACACAAAATTTAACATTTAACAATTTAACATTCAACATAAAAATTTTAATTAAGTGTTTATGACACATCTACACGTATTATTTAATTTTTGAATATGTTCCATTTTTAATGCCACTTTATGTTACTAATGCATTTATAGATATAATACCCGGTTTATACGGTGTAGGCAAATAATAAGATGTGCTATTCATTCACTGTCTGTATTTATAAAGATTTCTTTGCTGTTTTTTTTTTCTGCCTGACACACAATGTCTCTCTATACTGATATATACATATATCGTGACTTTTTATTCTGATTTTTGGACTAATTCATTGTTCACTGTGCCCTGTTTGACCCCAAGCCTCAAAGTCATTTAAAATCTACCGTTTAATGTGTAAATATTCTGAAAATTTTAAATATATTATGCATTTGATTAAGAAGAGGTATTATGAGCAATGAGCTCACAGAATGATACACTGATCTTATATGAGTATAATGGTAAAGTTATTTTTCTATTTTTATTAAAACAAGAGCCCACGGGCCTTATAGGTCACCTGAGTAACATGTAACAACTTTCCAACAACTGAATTTGGTTTGACTATTTTAAACCAAAAGCCTTGAAATTCACAATTTTGAAAGAGCACCATTGTTTATCATAACTATACACTTAGCATGCTTATTTTGGTTACTTAATACCCAAAGGCAGATCAGATTAACAGAGAGAAAATGCATTTCCACTTTATAACCACCAGCTGAGCACTCCAACCCAGAGGAACCACTGACCCTGGGGCCACATATTTCAAAATTTTGGAAACTTTATAAATTTCATTTAATAAGAAATGGGTGATTAATATCAAAGAGCAGATTTCAAAGTATTACTTTATTTTCAGAAAATATGTAACCCCCCCCCCCCCCGCGTCTGCAATACCCCTAACGCAGGGGCCCTGAAATTAACCATTTTGGAAGAGGCATCTTTCTTCATCATAAATGTATACTTAGATCATTGGCATTATACCAATGAGCAACGGAAAAGATTTCCAAAGAATTCATGCGTTTTCACAGTAAAATCATTATAGGGCCCAACCCTAACACCAGAACCCTGACCAAGGGGTCATGAAATTCACAAATTGGGAAGAAGCATCCTTCCTCATCATAACTATGTACATAGTTCATTGGTTTTATACCCAGGAGTATAGGAGAAGATTTTCAAAGAATTTATGCATTTTCACTATATAATCAACAGAGCCCTGCCCTAACACCAGAACCCCTGATCCTGGGGCCATGAAATTCATAATTTTGGAAGAGGCAGACCTATTCTATATAACCATGTACTTGGTTAGTCTATTTCATACCCAGGAGAAGAGAAGAAGATTTTTTAAAGAATTAATGTATTTTCACTATATAAACAAGTAAAGAGCCCCGCCCTAACACCAGAACCCCTCACCCATGGGCTATGAAATTCACAATTTTAGAAGAGGCATTCTTGGTCATCATAACTATGTACTGAGTTTATTTGTTTAATACCCTGGTGCAGAGAAGAAGATTTTCAAAGAATTAATGCATTTTCACTGCATAACCAATAGAGCCCCGCCCTAACACTAGAACCCCTGACCCAGGGGCCATGAAATTCACAATTTGGGAAGAAGCATCCTTCGTTATCATAACTTTGTACATAGTTCTTTGGTTAGATATCCAAGTGCAGAGGAGGAGATTTTTAACAAATTTATGCATTTTCACTATACAATCAACAGAGCCCCGCCCTAACACCAGAACCCCTGACCCTGGGGCCATGAAATTCACAATTTTGGAAGAGGCAATCTTATTCAACATAACTACATGTACTTGGTTAGCCTTTTTTATGCCCAGGAGCAGAGAAGAAGATTTTCAAAGTAACAATGCAATTTCACTATACAGTCTATTTAGCCCCGCCCTAGCACTAGCACCCCTGACCCTGGGGCCATGAATTTCACAATTTTGGTAGAGGACTCAGTGCTGATTACAATTATGCCAACAGTTTGACTGCTTGTTGTCTAGGAGCATAGAAGATTTTTAAAGATTGCACTAATTTTAGTGGTTTGGCCCCACCCCTCAGGCCCCCGGGGGGGGGGGGCAGGGACCATGAAATTCACAACTTATGTTCCTCTTCATCCATAGATGCTGTGTGCCAAAATTGGTTGAAATTGGTTCAGCGGTTTCAGAGAAGAAGCTGAAAATGTTCAAATGTTAACGCACGACGGACGACGCACGACGACGGACAACAATGGATAGCAATAGGTCACCTGAGTTTACTCAGGTGACCTAAATAAAACGTATGTAGAAAACGCCAAATATTTGTCCGATAGATAGAATAATAGGAGGGGAACTATGACATTGTCTATGTTTTACTAGGAAATTGTTACGAAGTAACATTTATCATGATTTCAGAATTTTTTTCTGTAAAAAAAACAGATGTGTTCGTAAAACACCGATGCTCCCGTATATGGCAGATTTTTTAAAATGCAAGTCAAACTCCAATTTAGATTAGGGAATGAAAATGTTATCCAAAGAAAATATTTGTATCAATACTTGTGAAATATGAAAGCCCAAGCACCAACCATTCAATAGTTATGGTCAAGATTAAAAATGTTTAATGTGGATCAAACTCCAAAGTCAAGGGGTCAAATGAACAGTAACTGCAAATGTATTTTATCTGGTGAGTGGGGTTTTCGTCGAGGGGCGTTTCATAGTAAGAATACGTAGCAAAATGTAAAACGTTTACAATTTTGGGGGCATCCATTATTTATCAGTCTTTCCTTATATACCACTTAATACAATTTTGTAATACTTTCACAAAATCTGTAGCATACATAATGCTGTTGAGCACCTCTTATTTTACGGTTTGATCTGACCATCATTTGAGGGTTCCAACTGCAAATCTTGGTCTTTTACTGGTCTTTTTTTTTTGGTAGAGGGTAAGCATAACATCCATAACTTTCAAAGAATCTGTTTTAAATATAATTCATTCACTTTTACTTTGTTCCGTTTTATTATAACTAAACATTTTGTTCTGCTCGAAGATTGACACAAATTAACACAACGAATAGACAAAGGGGCACTGAAGTCTCTTTGGTCAAACGAGCTCGTTTGCGCCCATACACTTGTCCTAATTCATTTCATAAATAAAATATGTTCACACCAAATCAAACTTTTTTTTATAGAACTAATTTTCATTACGTTTTGTTTCATTATTCTGTTGTGAATGTTTTTAAAATTGTAAATACAGTATCTGTAAATGTACTGTATTTAGGGTTGTTTTTTTTTTTTGGCGTCATTAAAGTTGGTAAAAGTTTAAAATCCAGAAAAGCTCTCTTTCTTAGGTTCATACGAGAGGAACGAACCACAACTCTGCAGGGGAGATTGCCAGTAAAACCTGGCTGCCTGTCTGAACAAATGGCATCATTTTTAACCAACTCAAACGTCAACAATCAAAGACATAATTAATACATTTACACATTTCTATTCAAGAGACAATTTCCAGTGGTCAACAACATTTGTTCATTTTTAAAAAAAATATTTAAATGAAGTATTCTTTACCAATGTGTATAAGCTCATTTTTTTAAATTTCTATTCTATCTTATTATTTTGCAATTTATCTACCAAGCTACTTTATCTGTCAACCTGCAAGTTTTGCTGTTGAAAAAAAATTAGTGGTATGATTGTTTGCCCCGTGATCTTAAATTTGATTTTTTGTGAAAAAACGAAATCGAAACAAAGGTGGGTGTACTAAGAGAAATAATCCAATCTCCATAAAATTATTACATTTTCCTCTTCTTTAAAAATATTTTTTTAAATATATTGATAAAACTAGGAAAGGCAATATTCAATTTTATAAGCCTCTACTTCTTTCCTCTTCCATTTGACAAATGCCACATTTTGATTCATCGAGCAAAGAAAAGACAATGGCACATACATTTGATTGCCAAGTTCAATCAATTAAAAAATTCAACACAAAATTTAACATTAAATAATTTATTTTCATTTGATAACAATTCATAGTCTCATCAATGTTTATATTTTTTTTTTTTAATACATATCTGAGAATTTCATTAATTAAAATTAGGTCTCTATGACACATTTTATACATGTATGTATAAATTTTTGGATATGTTCCATTTTAATGCCACTGTATGTTACTAATGATATGAAATATAGACCACATCAAATTATTTAGTGCCCTAGATTTGTACATGAAAAAAATATAATACTTTGAACACATTTTATATATTATGATCAAACTCAAATGAAATGGGAGAAATTTTGACCATAAACACCTAATCTGAAATTAATATTCCTCATTTTGGTCTAATGAAATGTTGTCATCCAGCTTGTCATGGTACAAATGAAAATGCTGTTCACAACGCCATATATTTTTCAACTGAATTCGTTATTTACTATTCATGTACCTCTATAAAAACCTCTGTGGAAAACACTAATACATGTGTATTTGTAATTAGATAACAAAAGAAAGAATTTCATCATCGCTCATTCTATGCACTGACAACCAATTCTTGTAATAAAACATGTTGTAAGCCCAGAATTAATATTCTGACAGTTATTGAAAATAAAATGTACATTTCATAATCAACAAAGTAATTTTTTGGTAAGTGCCTCAAATCATCATTCACATTTACCAAATTTGTGTCTTTGACTAAATGAGAAACTGTTTCGTTAAAAAGATTAAAACCCCATGAAATATGAAAAACATCATCCAATTTTAATACTGCCTCTTGCATTAAAACAGTCAATATTTGATAACCAATTTCATTACTGAAATTTTTTTAAAAATTGACTTCTTTCTGTGTATAATATTCAGTCAGTTCTACATCTTCAGGTAATAATTTAAACAACTTTGTTTTTTCTCTGTCTTGTCAACCCCATCACTCCTATGTTTTGAGCCATTCCAGGACCTGCGGCGTGAAGTATGAAATGATAATGTCTGCCCCTGCTCGCCTCATACTGACTAACACTTCCATCAGAGTTGTCTTTAAATCAAACGCACCTGCTTTAGCACCATGGTACAACATAGCATATTCACCAGACACTTGGTAAATAGCTAATGGATGTGTGGGGTACTGTAAAAACAGAAGAAAACTTGTGAAAATTGAGTTTATAGAAGGGAATAAAATCTTTGTTATTTACTTAATAGGGTGATGATGTTTACCACCTCCCCCCACCCTTGAATAAAAAGGATAAAGGAATAAATATGCCTTTGCCTGATGAAATTCAAAATTTATTCTGATGAAAGTAAGTTTATTTTTGGACAAAGTCTTAGTGCTTATGTTTGATAAATACATTTGACCTACCCTATCCTTGGTCATTTTGACTACGTCCAGGTAAGCCAGACCGGGTTTGACCATTAACATGTCGGCACCTTCCTTCACGTCACGCTCCACTGCACGCTCAGCTAGACCCATGGAACCTGATGGCAACTGGTAAGCCTTTCTGTCACCAAATGAAGGGGCTGATTTGGCAGCATCTCTGTATTGGAAGGAGATTTATGTGATATATAATTTCATGGAATCAAATATTCACATGGATTTTTTTTTTCAAGACGAGCACAATGAATATATTTTCCTTTTTCATGTATTAAACAAATAATATGCTGTAAAAAATTGAAAACTCTCTCTTACTTTGACTATTATGCAAAAAAAAATTTAAAATTAAGAAATGCCTTCTACTTTCAACATTTTCAAGATTGACAAAGTTTTTATTTGTGGCGAACTTACCTGAATGGTCCATAGAAGCAGGAGGCAAACTTAGCACTGTAGCTCATGACTGCCACCCTATTCCCATACCCAGCTTCTGTCAGAGCTGTTTTTATTGAGCCAATTCTTCCATCCATCATGTCTGATGGAGCGATAATTTGGCATCCTGAAAAATCAAAGTAAAAACTATAACAAGGAGACTCAATTAAAATCATGACTATATGAAGTTGAAATCCTTAGAGTGTAAGCAAGCTAGTCTACATGTCTTTATCAATGTTTCCTTATTCACAACTTAAAATGATATACAAATATATTTCAAGGCAGCCATAATGTATGAAATAACTTTTAAACATATCTATGTTTAATCAATTTTTTCTTACTTGACTGATTATGATGTTTTGTTTATCGTAATTAAGATCTACATGTACCTGCTTTGGCGTAGTTAACAGCTATCTCTGCCAGTCTCTTGATGCTTGCTATATTTTCAATGCTTCCATCTTCACGTAAAATACCTACAAAATATTACATGACATTTCATAAGTATCTATTTTTTTTAATATTTTAAAATTTAATACACATAACTGTGATAGTATTTTAGATCAAAGGAGAAATCTAATCTTTTACAAAATCATGTCAAAACAAACAAGAGATGAAACATTTTTGACATTTCGGCCCATTCAAGAAAGCAATTTAAATAAACACATATCAAATGGCAGCTCATTGCCAAGGTAAAAGTTTTTCAAAACTTGGACCAAACTCGTTAACATCTGGTCAAAAGTGCTAAAATGTTGGTATCCAAAGAGATGCTTGTCAAAGGGAATACACATATGATATATGTATGTAAGACCTATTGATAACCTATCAGAAGTTATAGCAAAGGTAAAAATACAAAAAAGTAGGTCAAACTACAAGACTACAAGGTCAAGGTCATGCTGCTGAAAGTGTTGGAACCCCCCCCTCCCCCACAAAAGCTCTAGTCATAAGGTTAAAAAATCTAAAGCATGTAATGAAAGACCTAGATCCAAAAGCCATGATTCTGAAGCCATGAGCAAGGTTAAGCATTAAGGTTTTTCAAGAGTAAAACTCTAAGGTAAAAAAATATTGAGATTAAAGAAATGTCTGTCACAATAAATATACAGGCACTTCTTAAAATTGAAAACTATAACACCAACTAATATTATTCAGAAGTTATGGGCAAGGTTAAAGTTTTCCCAAAGTAAAATCAAAATCCAAGGTCAAAGTCACAAGACACCAATATATGGCTGAAATATTGCTGATTCAGCGTAAAACATTAATCAATCAAAGTCACGGGATCAAAAATGTTGATACTATAAGAAAGGCCTTGTGACGAGAAATTATAAATGCAAAATATGAAAGCCTCAACCGTTCAAAAGTTATGACCAAGGTCAAAGTTTGGTACAAGTTTTTCAAAAGGAAACACCAAGTTCAAGAAATTAAAACATTGATGTCAAAAAAAGATCTTGTCAAAATCCAAACTATGAAAAACTGTAGGAAATTATGGTCAAGGTTGAAGTTCTTGGAGATAACAGGCAAACAAACAGCTGGAGAGACCAAAAACTATACACCCTTAAATTAATAATTACAGTAATTACAGTGTTATATAAACTCTTGCACATACCACAGTGCCCATGGCAGGTGTAAGGACAGAGACACACATCACAGGCCACCAGTAAATCAGGGAACCAGCTTCTCAACATTTTGATGGCAAGAATAGCTGGGGTGTCAGGGGTATCTGCTGCTGTGCCATTATTGTCCTACAACAAAGAGAGATCTTATTTAAGATCCAATGTAACCCTGAGAGAGATAACTCTAAAAATCTTTTTTTCAAAAAATTGTCAAGTCAAAGAAGGCCTTTAAAAATTGCATTATAGGGTATGCAGAAAATGTTCAAAGTTTTACAGTAATTTTCTTATAGAAAATCAAAATCAAGCAAAATTCCATGCAGCTGATAGGAGATAAGATGAATCTTTAATTAAAAGCATCCAGAAAAAGTGGCTGCGATTTCCAAATCACTTCATCATATCTATGGTATTTGAGATATGGTTGTGTTGGATAATGAAAGTTCAACCTTACATTCAAACTTAATGAAAAAAATCCACTCAAGAAATCTTAATAATGAAACATTGGTGTTTATTAAGTTATAGATACTTGCCTTTGGTAATTTACTGGGCACGCCAAATATAAGCACACATTTCAGGCCATTTTTCACCATTGGTTCCAGTGCCTCTCGTAGCCTGTTGATGCCATATCTGGCAACACCCGGCATACTGGCAACCTCCTGTACAGCATCTTCCTCATCTCTGCAAGAATCGAAATTATTCACACTGAGAATAGGATTTTTTTTCTGAAGAACACAAGGATAAAGATTTTTACCAATTTATTCTATTATAATTCATGCAAACCTTGATATATCAATGTTGACTGGACCAGGACCAAACAAATACTTGAGATATTCGAGAATTTGAGATGGAGAGGGTAAAGGAAAGAAAGAAAATTGGTTGGAACTGCCAACTTATTTTGACATGTCCCTGGTATTTAAGATACTATAGTTTGACTTTTCAACATAATTATGTTCAACTGTACATCATACATCACTACATGTATAATTTGTGAATTATTCTCCTTTATTAAATAAAAAAAACCCATAATATTGCTGTTATCTGAAGCAAAAACAATATGAAGCCATCTCTAACTCATCATGGGAGAAAGTTTTAAGGGTCAACTGTTTTTTTAAGCTGTGTGGAACTATAATGCAATATTTTATGTACTAGCTAGCTTCCATCTACTTAAACAAATTAATCAGTTGAATTTAAAAAGATGCTAGTATTAACATTAACAATAACATATGAGGTCTTTGTTGTTACACTGCAAGGGCAAAAGGATATCAATCATTGCAGAAATATCCAAATATTCTGCTATTATTAATTTTTTTTTTCAATTTTGCAACTATTTATTCCTGTATTACACGACAAAGAATAAATGGTGTTTAAATCTACGGGTATACTCAAACATCATGTACCAAAGATAAAAGAGGAAAAAATTCATTATGGAGTATCTTTTTTGTTAGCACTCGAATAAGTAGACGCATTGGATTTTTTATTACTAATTTTTTTTTGGCTTTCAAAAGCAAAGGTATGTTCATATTCTTGTACATGAATATACTCTTTTATTAATATAATTAGTTTTTGTTTGTTATTCTCTCCCCGTGAATATATAGCCAAGTCATATGACAGTGGTGCCTCATTATTCCACAGACTCACATGATCCAAGAACTCAGCTGCCATGACTAGAGGATGACCTTCAGTCTATTCCATGCTTTGACTACTAAGGTATTAGTGATGTTAGGAATCTCTAAGATGCAAAATTTTTCTTTTTCTTTTTTTTTTTTCAAAAGAGGAGAAAAATTAATTTTTAAAGATTTCTTTCCCAAAAATTTGCCAGTAAAATAGAATGATGTCTATATATAAAGCTTAGATAATTTCAAATGTGTCATTAGTCTACTGGAAAAAATCTTTTCATTTCCATTTCTCTGTATCAAATGAGAGAAATTCTTGTATTTTAATAATTTAAGGACTTTCTAGAATTTTTCACACATTTCATTTATTAGTATATATGAAATCACTCAATTTTATGCAACACTCAATAATCCAGATCATCCATCCCCTTTCCATTTTAAAGGAAAAACAAACTTGATCAAACATTTCAAGGCTGTTGTATCACATGATTTAATTCTCAAAAATAATTTTGCCTAGTTGACTGTTAGCAAATCAATATTTTCTTAGCAGCAACTGACACCCTAATGGAAAGAAATGTGTGGTGCTTTGTTTTTAAAATATTGTAGACTGCTGTTAATCAATAGATTTATAGTATTAAGAAGTGTCTGACTAACTATCAGATAAGAAGTATTACATCTAGGTCATTCAGAGAGCTACAAAGTCATGTGACAGGACCTTCCCAAAGTCCCAATACCCTAAATACTAATAAATAATTCTAGTACTTAATATTTAATGCATTAAATTAAAATGAAAATACATTACTTTTCGTTATAAATATTTGATACCCAAAACACTAAAATTTACAATGAATTCCATGCACTGTTACAATGTAAATGCATGAATGTGCAGATGAAATGTGATAGTGCTTATCTCAAAATCCAAAATATCTATTTATTTTACCTCTAGCTTGTATGAGTTCAGTTGATTTAACTTAATTTATTACACATACACCTCAATGATATTTAACTTTTCCAGAAATCATTATGCATTAAAACTTATTTACATCTACATGCTATCATGATATATCACTCAAAAGGTCACTAACATTTGGAAAGAGATGAATGACAATTTATTGATTGATCTGTTCAATTACAGATGAACATAAGTCTAAGACATGACCGTAGTATCAATTTAAATACTAAATGTATCATAATAATTAATAAAATTAATATAATTATATTTCAAGCAAAAATTATAATTGATTACCATGTACACAGTCTATGTCTATTTGTCACAAATGGAAAGTATTAAAAATACCACTGATTCCTTTTCTGATTGATTTCCAATCTCTTTATATAGTCAACAGACACAATTTTTTTTTATCAAAATGAGGAGAAAATACTTCAATAATTTTAATAAATTTAGTCGCCAGAACAATTTGAAGTATTTTAATGCCAATAAACACAAATCATGCATAGCACTTTCCTGCCCTAAATTAGAACATTATCTTTCTAAAACAAACTTTCAAGGAAATGTTAAACAAATCGCTGATCATCAGATTTCATGTTTTTTTCTGATCTACTGACAAGTCAGTGACATCTACGTGTAATTTTGTGTCTAGATAATTAATGAAGCATTGCATAAAGCTGGTTTGCCCATGGAAAATCCAAAGAACAAAAACAATAATAAAAATTTTTAACTGATAAATATTCATCCCTCTAGCTAATATTTAAGCAATAATTTCTTAGATGATTGATAACATTTCGGGGGTAGGGGTGATGGGTGATGTAAGCAATATCAATAACAAGGAAACCAAAAGGTAGTGTTAACAATAGTGGAACAGTGGCTAAAAGTTTTATTTTCTCAATATTTTGTTCTTCATATTTAGGCATTTAATTTCATGAAATTGTCAAATACATGTAAGCATAAACTGTTGAATAAGAGCCTTAGAGGAAGGGGGGTGTAGTAAATTGGGTTGCATATTTATGTACATCATGTATATAGGAACTCGAAATATCATGAGTCCTTCAACAAAAAAGATTAAAAAGAGCAAAAACATTATACAACCTTATCAATTTAAGTGTATATTCTAGATTACATTATAAGATTATTCATCTGTTACGAAAAAAGGAAGTGCAATTTTACTTACGTAATAAACAATGGATAAATCAAATTTTCTGCCTTAATCTGTGTATTTGTTGTTTGCCATTCACGTAAAACGGGGTGGTGATATCCACTTTGTAATATAGCGTGCTCACACATTTTCCCCTCCGCTCACTTTACAAGCATGTAGTTCAGTGAAATGACAACAGCGATGTTTTGTTGACATCCGGTTGTACGGCGTACTTGATTAGTTGAAATTGACCTTGATGCAAGTTGGAATCGTGACGCAGTCTACGGACTGACGTGAGCGTCATAGCATGTGCTAATATATGACAAGCTTAGACAGCACATGACCAAACCTTTTTTCAGGGTCAGATAAAAATTGGAATGTAGTGGCAAAAAGGTAACCCAAGATAGCAATTTATTAGACTATAAGATATTTTTAACTTTAACAACCGTGTGACGAAGAAACTCCAAAGCAACATGAAGCAATGGGCCATGTGAAAGACCATCACTAGAGAGATAAAGATATTATTCATATCTTATGATGGAACTTATGAATGAGATTCCACTCATTTCCATTTGTAATGTTACAATAAAAGAATGATATAATTTTTTTTAATTTTAAAAATAAAGGAGATCAAATGCAAAACAGTAATTTTTAGACGGGGTCACGTGACCCCGCCTATCAGTTTACTGTCCAAGACCTCGAGAGGAGAGAACACATGAATAAAATCGACGCTATATATTTACTCAAGCCCTAGAGGGGCTTGAGTTATCTAAAACGATGCTAGGTCATCGATTTACTCAGTTTAAAAACACGAAATTATATTATATTTGTACATAAACATATTTCTAGAAACAAAAATGAAGCATATGTTGAAAACGTCTGTATATTAAAAAATATTAAGTGTTAAAAGTCGGATTCTATTCTACAGCGTATGAACAATGAGTGAAGCGTCGCAGCTGCAACAGTTTCTATACAGAGATTTCGCGCTTTCATTTGCGTAGGAATCTCAGGTACTTTTTACAGTCGCCGACAAAGCATCTTTGGACGAGTCCACTGGTTACTCTGAAAGGTGACGCAGGTTACCCCATTTCTAATTGTCCTTCTCTTAACAAATTTTCGAAACGCTTATTCTCGCAGTGTTGGTCTGATTTCAATATAACTTGGCATAACTTCACAAGTAGACTACACTAAGATACATTATTATCTGTCAAAGTTTTATAATGCGTAGCAAAAAAATGTATGGCTGTACCCCCAAACTGAAATTGCCTATAACGGGCCTGAAAATGATGTGCACTTTGAGTGACAGTAAAATAATAGCGCAAAATTATTTCTCCCTCATACGTTTTTTTTTTTATTTTAAAAAATCGTACTTTCTTCAGCTTTGGTAACGGAACCTAAATAACTTCTTTTGGATTCGAACGGAATATGTACTGTACATGCCGCACAGTTAGATGTACCCGTATACCGGTAATTACGTGGCTTTTTGGAGCCCTGAGCCCCCCCCCCTTCCACTTTGAAAAACTTTTCTTCCGACTTGCAACAAGCTATTTAGATTGATGTTTATAACATGTTTTTATGTACGTCATTAAGCAAAATTAAAAAAGCGTATAGTTTGAAGTATATGAAATGTCTACATAAAAATATTTTATTAATTCAAGAAACGTCTACTATACTCTATAAAAAATTCCTGAAAGTGAGTAACGTAAATTCATCGTATAGTACGATAAATTATATTTATTCTAATTAACTTCATTATATGAATTTTGTTTCATGTACATGTATATAATTCAATAGAAGATTGAACTCAATAGCCCACATTATACCATTTTAGGATATTAATGACTTTTCTTAGTTGATTTTCTACAGCTTGAGTATCTCTGACTTTTTGTCAGTATATACTTGTTTTTTTTAATGTGGTTGCTTTTCAGCATTTTATAAAATTAATGAAATTAAAACTTAAAACATTATTAAAATCGTGAGTGAATATTGAATTATTAATTTATTTTGAAGTTTTTACCTATAAACATACACAAATGAAAAAAAATTTTCACAAGTATATACCGGCATTTCTAATTATTTTTTTATAATCACATTATTGATGACATCATAGTGGATTTTTAAAATCATTACTCAATGGGTTCTGTTGAATTTTATATATGATTTAAACTTTATGGTAAAAAAAAAAATTGCACAGGTACCTGATGTTGCTTATTTTTTCATATAGATCTACCCCTACCTAATTAATAGGTAGGAAGTATATTCTTTTATTAAAAGAATATAAGTAACGTCAGGTGTCTGTGTGGTCTTGCTATACATGTATTTATTTAGAATCCAGAGTTATTGCTGACTTTGATTACCATCACACGACTCGGGACCTTGGTGGCCTACATTGTATTGTTAATCGCCTACATTGTATTGTTAATCCCACTGCACGTGTGTTAGGCAGTATTCTTTACTTGCCTAATATACATAATTTATACATACACATGATACACTGATAAAACGTCTATTCTGGCGAAGCAAAACATGACCTTCTTTAAATAAATGATACATTAACGTAGATTTTAGAAATATATTAAAGAAAAGATACAAATTATTATAAAACTAAATTATTTTTTTAACACTACAAAGTTCAGAAATGATTAGGATACTTGAAAGTTGAAAATTAATCTAAATGGTGTTACCTCCAAATAATGGATTTTAAAATATCTAATTTTTAAGGTACATCCTCAGCTTCTAAATTCGGGCATTGAAAATTGAAAATATTCATTAAAACGTCTGAATTTTCCAAGTAATGTGTATATTTTTATCTACTGTAATTCTTCAAACTTTATCATTATAGTATATATAGGGGAAATTAGAAAATTTAAAATAATTTTTCAGAAAATGCAATAAGAGCGCCTACTATGAATATATATATATTTTATTTAAATATGATCAAAAAATATAATTTAATAGTACAAAAAACATTTGGGCATTTAATAGAAGAAAATTGCAGTATTTTTTTTTTACTTATATAGTACTTTACTTGCTTCTATTCCCTTCAGTTATTTTGAAATGTGTAGTATATAGAGCATTTTGTACATATTGTATCTATATTGCAAAACATTGTAAATCACTTATAATTTCATATCATGTCAGTAAATATTGGTATCTATGGCTAGATATAAAAAGAAATTGGATTTTCTTTAGAATGTTCTTCTTTTTTCTCTTTCAAAGAATTTAACGAACATTGAATCACATTTAGATCGAATTTCAAGCTTCACTTTGAGACTTTGAATTACATTATACAAATATGCATTATGTATATTAAAGACTTACAATATCCTGGCTGTGTTCTTTAAATATAATGTACAATATAGTATTACTCGTCACATATTATGACTTGAGCAAAAAAGTCTTTTGTAGTATTTCTATAATTTGATATGAATTTTGAATTAAAAAATGTACCTTGCGTTAGTTTTACCTGTATTTTGAGACGGTCCATAAAAATACCTAGACGGTAGATTTTCCCTAAACTTGTTATGTACACTGAATTAAATGTAAGTCATATATGGTATGAAAGTTAAGACATTCTCTTTTGTAGTTTTCACATAATAAAACCCTAGTCGACTTCCTTAATTTATTGTCTAGCTTGCTTTCCATACGGCAAGCGTCTGGTTAACCTAAATCAAAGCGTGTCGATGACTTTGATTCTACTTCCTGCAATGATAACTGAATTCTACAAAATGCCGAATCACTTTGAATTTGCAGTCGATTGTAACAACAGAAATTACGTATGATTTGATTAATTCTGGCTATAGACACAAGGTACACAAGTAGAAATTATTTTTGATTCTTTGCATGCTTCATATAATACATGACATTCCTGTCAACCATTAAAAATGGAGAGACCATTGGTTTAGAATATATTATATGGCCCTTAAGTTTTTTGGCCTCTCTGTCGAAACTGTTGACTATATTTTAAGATATACTAATGTTTTTTTTCAGTATTGATTTAAAACAGTATGCCAACAAAGACATCATCTTGTCCTCATGTCGGAGCAGTGGACAGTGTTACATGGGAAGAATTGAGACGAAAACAACAGGTTTATCATTTTAATATATATGCATATTACAATTTCCCCAAGAAAATTTATGAAGTTTATAAATTTCTTGTAGTTTTATATATGGTGTTCTTGTACATCCATTTTGCAGTGGTCAACTCATTCACAGGGGCTTGTGCAGGTCCAGTCCAAAGACTTTCTACCTACGTAGCTATTGATAGCTACATAGGTATTTAAACCTACCCAAAGTAGCTATATTTACCTACTTTTTGTATTATCTGCATTTTGTGACCAAAACACCAAACGGCGCAACATGGTGAATACCATATATTTTGATACAGCCACACTAATGATGAATACAACGAAATTTTGGCCGAAAAATGATTACTTCCTAAATCTTCAATTTTACATTAATTTCTATGCAAAGTTGTTAATTTATGAAGTAATCATTTTTTGGTCAAATTTTTGTCATATCCAGCATCAGTGTGACTGTATCAAGAAATATGGTGCTCACCATTTTGCGCCGTTCACTCGTTTGGCCACAAAATGGAAGTAAAGCAGAAAGTAGGTAAAAATAGCTACTTTGGGTAGGTTTAAATACCTACGTACAGACCCTAAACCGTGCTACTACACCACTTGCACGGTATGGTTCGGTACGCTTTGTGAACGGAACGGTTCGCTTTGAGAACGGTGCGGTACGCTTTGTGCACGGAACGGTTCGCTTTGTGCACGGAACGGTATGCTTTGTGCACGGAACGGTACGCTTTGTGGACGGTACGGTTCGCTTCTTGCACGGAATGGTACGCTTTGTGGACGGTACGGTTCGCTTCTTGCACGGAACGGTACGCTTTGTGGACGGTACGCTTTGGGAAACGGTATGCAAATGAAGTGGGCGGAGCCTATTAGCCTTAATCCTTCATTGGCTGCTAATTTTACAATTTTATTTCAGTTATTAAAGAATGTAATTTATTTATTATTCATATCAATTAAAGTATCAATGAGTTTCTATTTATTCGAGAAGTGTAAATGTTTTATTACATGTATGTTATTGTGTCGATCAAAGTATTGTATTTTATGTCTCGGTTTCAGTTTTAAATATTAATTTACACTGCAGCAGTGATGGAGGAAATAAGAAAAAAAATGAAAGGAAATAAACATCGTCCCATTGATCTTTTTCGCATTTGTAAATTTATT